GTCGTGCGGCGAAGAGCGAGCTTTACGAAGTTGGAGGATTTTTGTGGGGGAGAAGACAAGTATATGATGTCGTCTCTCCAGTGTTGAATTTGTCGATAAATATAACTTTTTAGCCAAATTACACCATCCTTTTAAGTAATTTTGTAATCTGGCGTTGAGGAATTTTCCCGTACCTATTTGAGGATACAGGGGTATGACCGCAAACTGTTCTCAGATTTGTTCTTTGAGTCGCATAAGATAAGCGTTACATATCAAGTTGGTACGGTATGATGTAAATTGTTCACCTACGGTCTCAGTGGATTAGTGACATTTTAAAACACCTTGCTCTAATTCTGAATCAGATCGGGACGAGGGAATTTGCCGTTCAATCCGATTGTTTAGGAATGTTACATCTGCTGTGAAGCAAAACAAATTATGCGCACGCTGCAAAAGTTTTAAACTGCTAGTCGCTGTGCCGATGGTTAGTGCACTGGTCTTGTCTTAAAAAATGATGCTTAAAGACTTTTATTCTTTCAAACTACGGTTAGGGTCAGCAGTTCAAAAATTATTAATTAAAGCGTTAGAAACCAGTCACTTCGCGAACGATTGGTAATAAGTTCTAATAATGAAAATCCAATTCAGGTTTATGCAATAAAGCCGTTTAGTACTCAGCGGTTCGAAGACATTTTCCCTATTTGAATGGTTTTGTGAGACAGACCACCCACAGTTTTCTCAACCAACAATTGCGAAGCCCTGCTCAATAGCGCCAAATGGACAAGTTCATCCCGACGTTTTTCGTTTAATGATCTAAAACGTCTTTCATTGGTTCAGTTCTATCGTAGTCTCGTTTCCTAAAAACTTTATCGCGAATTCTTCGATCATTTACTGTGTGCTCCTCGTAGCAGATTCATCCACCCTCCTACATATGAATTGGTAAAGGCCAAAACTACATTAAAAAGGTGAGAAAAGTGGGACTCTTTAGTTTTTTAGTTTCTAGTTTTCTTGAGCGGGTTTAATAACTCAGTGCAGAAGTTACTGGACCGGGAAGATGCACGCGTTCGGTAGCAGGATCTAGCTAGTCCAAAATATTCGAAACTTTCCCCAAGAATATCTAACGTCTCGCTCCATCTGGGTTGGTGGAAAGAGGCTTTTTTTACAAATTGGACGATAAAAAGACAATTTGTTGGTTCCATTCCTGCTCCTCTTCCCCTGTTC